CTGATTTTGTGGTTAGCAGTCCAGTGCTTATCCTACAACATCACAGCAGGGCTCTCTTGATCATGTTACCACCTCCTAACATGGCTGAGGAATCTTGTGTGGCACTGTACCGCAAGGTTGACAGTTCAAAACCACCCGCTGCTCTCTGAAAACGTATACAGGGTCGCTATGTGTGGGAACCAACTCAACAGCACATAACATGGGCAACAATATGATTAAAATGTCCAAGCTGCAATGAAGGCACTGGTGAAAAACATGTCTCTAGGAATTGATGGAATGCTAATTGAGATGTTTCATCAACAAAGAGACACAATGTAGGAAGTGCCTCACTGATGATCACAAGAAATCTGGAAGACAGTTACCTCACCAACCAATTAGACCAGATCCATATTCATGCCCATTAAAGAAAGGTGACCCGATAGAATGCGGAGATTATTGAACAATGTTATTAATATCACATGCATGTAAAATTTTGCTAAAGATAATGCAAAACTGAAACTTTCTACTTCCGCCAAGATTTAAAGCCTCGGAAACAGGGTTGCTATGGGTTGGCACCAACTAAATGGCACTTAACAACAACAACAGTGTAAAAATGGTTGTAGCAATACATCAACAGAGAGCTGCTAGAAATTCAAGCTGGATTCAGAAGAGGACATGGAACAAGGGCTATCATTGCTGGTATCAGATGGATCTTGGATGAAAACAAGAAAGATATTTACTTGGACTTTATTGATGATAAAAAGGCATTTGACTGTATGGGTCATAACAAATTATGGATAGTCTTGTGAAGAATGGGAACTCCAGACATTTAATTGTGCTCACGCAGAATCTGCACATAGACTAAGAGGCTGTTCCAACACAGCAAGGGCAGCGAGTCAGTTCTGAATCATAACAACCCTGAATAGGGTTTCCAAGGAACAGCTGTTGGGTTTGAACTGCCGACCTCATAGTCGCTTGCAACCTACAACAACACACTTAACTGCAGTTTAAAATCAGGAAAGGTGTGCGCCAGGGTTGTATTCTTTTTTCAGTTTATTCAATCTGTATGCTGAGCAAATTATCCAGGAAGCTGGATTATATGAAGATGAATGTGGCATCAGAATTAGAGGAAGACTCATGAACAACTTGTGATTTGCAGAATATTCAACCTTGATTGCTGAACACAAAGAGGACTTGAAGCTTGAGGCACTTACTGGTGAAGATCAAAGACTACACAGTCTTTATTATGAATTACACCTCAACATAAAGAAAACAAAACTCCTCACAACTGGACCAGTAAGCAACATCATGGTGAATGCATAAAAGATTGCAATTGTCTAGCATTTTATTTTATTTGGATGCACAATTAACAATCATGGAAGCTGCATTCAAGAAATCAAACAAGTCAAGTATCTATCTTATTGCAGTGGGGAAATGTCTTTAAAGTAGGGGTTGTTGTTAAGTGCCATTGAGTTGATTTCTACTCATAGTGACCCTGTACAGGATTTTGGAGGAGTGATTGGTGAGCTTGAACCGTCGACCTTGCAGTTCAAAGAATTAATCCAGAGTGCCATACCAGGACTCCAAAGTAAGGGTGGGGAGCTTTTTTTTTTCCTGCCAAAATTTATAACATCACTCATGGGCCATACAAAATTGTTGTTGTTGTTGTCAGGTGCCATCGAGTTGGAACCGACTCATAGCGACCCCATGCACAGCAGAACGAAACAATGTCCGATCCTGGGCCAACCTCACTACTGCTGGCACACTTGAGTCCATCAATGATGCCACCTGGCCAATCCATCTCGTTAGGGGTCTTCCTCTTTTTCTCTGACCCTCCACCTTACCCAGCATGACGTCCTTCTCCAGCGACTGTTTCCTCCGGACAATATGTCCAAAGTATGAGAGACGAAGCTTAGCCATCCTGGCCTCCAAGGACCACTCTGGCTGCACTTCTTCCAAAACAGATCTATTGGTTCTTTTGGCAGTCCATGGCACTTTCAGTATTCTCCTCCAACACCACAACTCAAAGGCATCAATTCTTCAACGATCTTCCTTATTCACTGTCCAGCTTTCGCATCCATATGAGGCTATTGAAAACACCATGGCCTGGGTCAGGCACACCTTAGTCCTCAAGCTGACATCTCTGCTCTTCAATACTTTAAAAAGTTCCTGTGCAGCAGATTTGCCCAATGCAATACGTCGTCTGATCTCTTGACTGCTGCTTCCGCGAGTGTTGATAGTTGATCCAAGAAGAATAAAGTCCTTGACAACTTCAATCTTTTCTCCATTGATAAGAATGTTGTTTATTGGTCCAGTGGTGAGGATTTTTGTTTTCTTGACATTGAGATGCAATCCATACCGAAGGCTGTGCTCTTTGATCTTCATAAGTAAATGTTTCAAGTCCTCTTCACTTTCAGCAAGCAAGGTTGTATCATCTGCATATAGCAGGTTGTTAATGAGTCTTCCTCCAATCCTGACGCCACGTTTTTCTTCATAGAACCCAGGTTCTCGTATTATTTGCTCAGCATACAGATTGAACAAGTATGGTGAAAGAACACAACCCTGTCACACACCTTTCCCAATTTTAAAACATTCAGTGTTTCCATGCTCTGTTTGAACAACTGCTTCTTGGTCCAGGTACAGATTTCTCAGAAGCACAATTAAGTGTTCTGGAATACTCATACTTCTCAATGTTGTCCATAGCTTGTCATGATCCACATACAAAACTATCAACTTAAAAATTCACCTGCTCAGCCTGGAGAGAGGGAGTGGCTAAGGACTCTGAACTCATGGAAAGAGAGGGATTGGGTGCTGGTGGCCAGGAGGCAGTCTTGCAGAATGTGTCCTTTGGTTGTTTAAATGATATTATATTCCGGACTGTTTTGTGTAAACCACCACCAAAAAAACGAAGAGGGAATGGAACCAAATACTGTTGAATGATGTTGCACAGAGGAGATTGTAATCATTGCAATGAAATGATGGTGTAAAGCCCATGTTCTCCCATATAAACTATCACTTAATTCACAATAAAAACTTAAAAATAAATAAATAAAAAAATTAGCCTGCTATTTGGTCAAATATTTAATTAACTCATCCATTATGTGATGTCTGGGAGTTCTGGTGTGGTGGGGGAGGATAAGCATTCCGCCTTAAGGTCGTTTTCAACTGCAAGGTCATGGTTCAAACTCACCAGCCACTCCTTAGAAACCCTGTACAGGGTCACTATGAGTCAGAACTGACTCAATTGCACACAACAACAACAAATGCGATGGCTAGAACTGTGGTTGCCAGACCAAATGATTTCACAGGCCTTAAATACCTGGTGTGGAGTCTTGGTGTGACGCTGTGGGTTAATGCTCTGGACTGCAAAGTTGCTTTGAACCACAAGGTCGGTGGTTCAAGTTCACCAGTTACTCCTTGGAAATCCTATACAGGGTCCCTATGTATTGAAACCGACTCTATGGCACCAGCACTTAACAACAGTAATATATGCCTGATGTAAGTAGTTATGAGTTGGGCTGCTAACTTCAAGGTCAGCAGTTCGAAACTACCAGCTGTTCCCACCATAGAAAGATGAGGCTTTCTGCTTCCATAAAGATGTACAGCCTCAGAAACCTAAATAGTCGCTATGAGTTGGAACCGACCCCATGGCACATAACCAAGCAACCTACGTGCCTAGTGTGGCGCTGTAGATAAAGGACTGCAAAGTCGCGGGTTCAAACTCACTAGTCCCTCCTTGGAAACCCAATACTGGATCGCTATGAGTCTGAAAGGACTGGACTGGAAGGCACTTAACAACAACAACAATGGGCCCACGGGCCAGACGTTCCCCACTTTTAAGATTAAGGTGCATCTGACCCACGCTGGACAAGAATAAGGAAGACCGAAGTATTGATATGTTTGAATTATGGTTTTGGTGAAGAATATTAAATATACCATGGACTTGTGGAAAACGAACAAATCTGTGTTGGAAGAAGTACAGGCAGCATGCTACTTAAAATTAAGGATGGGGAGGCTTGTTTCATGAATTTTGGACATGTCATCGGGAGGGATTAGTCCCCAGAGAATAATACCATGTTTCATAAAGCAGAGGGTCAGCGAAAAAGAGGAAGACCCTCAACAAGATGGATCGACACGGTGGTTGCCAACAGTGAGCTCAAACATAGGAAAACTGTGAGGATGGTAAGCTGGGACAGTGTTTCATTCTGCTGTACATAGAGTCGCTTTGAATCGGAGCAGACTTCTGGGCGCCTGACAACATTCCATAGTGTGGTGTGTGTGTGTGTGTATGTAAAATCAGATAGCTTTAATCTTAAAGTCACAGAATGTCTAATTGACAAAAACTGTTCTATTTATATAAAACAGTCTAACAACCCAATAACATGGATATGATTATTCTCATTTTGCAGATGTGGAAACAGGCATGGAAACTGGTCAAGTCTTCTACCCAGGGTGACCACAAAGGAAGAAATTCAAAGCTGGATTTATCTGGCTCAGAGCCTGAGCTGTTAAACATTACAGAGAAACTGAAAAGGCAACCTCTCCAAAGCCCCAATCCCGGGCTCTTTAAGAATGGTGAGTTAAAAAAGGCCGAAGAGCGTAAAAGAGATCAAAGCGTATGTAAATAAGAACCGAGGGCTGCCGGGATAATCAATGCGGTTAACCCCCGGGGAAAGCCGGCGTTGGGACCCACTGCGCCTGCGCCACCCTACCTCGCCTTTTGGTCCCGCGCCTGCGCTAGGCTCTTTTTACTCAGGCCAGCCCAAACTTGCCTAATGTACGCAAGCGCCTGCTCAGAAGCCGTCTCTTCTCGAGCTCATGCTCTCGCTTTGCGCTTGCGCTCTCACACTCTTTGACTCCATCACTCACTTTTTTGTACGTCAGTTCCTGTTTGTGGCGGGAGAGGGCGGTATTTCCGACCAGAGGGTGGGAGGGGGCGGTGAGTAGGGGCTGGGGGGAGGGGGCGGGGGGGGCCGCGCTGCGCGAGCCGTTGGGCCTGGCTCTGAGAAAGCGTCGTGTCTGCCGCCGCCGCCGCCGAGGAACACAAGGAGTTGGAGCAAGCGCAGCGTGGTGATGGGCGGGAGTAGAGTCCCGCCGGAGAGGCTGGGCGGCCGCCGGTGACAGGTGAGTGCGCCAGCGCGTGTCCCCGAGCCCCCCCCCGCGATGGTCGCGTCCGGGTCCCCCGTGGTGCCGCGCTGGGACGTACCACCCGTGCCCGCCGGGCGGGGATCACGGTCCTCGAGGCCCTCTCCCCCGGCCCCCCCGGGACTAAGTGGGTGGCTGGCCGGGAGGGGGGCATAGGACTAACTTTGAGGGGCCTGGGCTGGGGGCCACGGGCCGTACCACTGGGGCGGCAGGGGGATCTTACCAAGTGTGAGAGGACCGAACCACTGAGGGCCTGCGGGTTCAGATCCAGCGTTTGCGGGCTGGGAGTTGAGCCAGTAGGGCGGGGGATGGTTGTGTTTGGTGTGAGAGGTGTAAACTTTTGAGGGGCGCGCCGTTGTATGTGGAGGGGGGTTGTACTTTTTTTGGATCAGTATGTGCAGTTCTTTGATTGTATTTAGAGGGGAGGGGGTTGTACCAAGTGTGCCCGGTGTAGGGCCCTCTGGGTCGTACCACCAAGGCGCTGACAGGGGGAGCCATCCTTCGAACGCAGAGGGGCGCTCATCAGCGCAGGAAGACTGTGATGTTTGTAATCTTTGAGAAGTTGGGAGGGAACAGTCTCGAGTGGGTGTTTCGGGACTTTTTTGGGGAAGGTATAATGCTAAGTGCTAGGGGCTTATATGGTGTATTTGGTGTGGGGGGGTGGTTGGGAGTTTACATTGAGCGGAACTTTTATTATTGAACTTTTTAAATGACGTTGGGGGAAATTAAGATAGCTACCAGGGTGCTTTGAACCACATGGTGTTGCCTTCTGTTCACCCCAGAACCTTCTCAGATGATTTCATCGTATTTTAAGATTGGCAGGTTGTTTCCTTCCTTAGAAGTTTTAGAAGCTTCTTTGGTCTCTGTGCTACTCATGCTTAAGGAGGGAAAGGGTATCGGGCTTGGATTTGAGGAACTGCATCCCTAGACCAACGTAAGAGTATTTGGAGGGACACTTCTCCATGGCAAGGTGGCAGGGGACATCTTGAGCCTTGGGATTTACAGGACCTCCTTCCAGCCCTTTGGCCATGGCTTGGGGCTCAATAGGCCGGATCTGGAATAATTAGATTTTCAACCATGTCTGCTCTTCCCTTCCTAGAGAAGCATCGGGTGTTCAGTTCTGGCCTGGCCCATGTTGGCAGTGGGTGTGAAGACCATTGCCGCTCCTGCCATCCCGAGTCATGTGGTTGTTTGTGTCTCCCAGGTTACCAGCCCAGCCCCATGGTGTGTATGTTTCCCACTAGGGGAGAACAGTTGACTGCGCCATTATCTGTTTGTCTAGTTGTTCTCTTCATAGGCCAAGGGGGATTTGGGAGAGAAAGATGCCCTTGGTGCAGTCCAACCCAAAGATGAAGACCTTGGGATCATTAGCATCACTAGCTCCCCTATGGGTCTTGTTTCTCAACGATCCAGCCCTAGACATGAGTCCACCACCAGCTTTTGACCTTGGCTTGCTCCTGTTACCTTTGCCCTGGGTCTGGAGGGCTCGCTGCAGTCCATCATGAGTGGCTGCTGTGGTCAGAGAGGCCTCATTGTGGCTTCTGGTCAGTAGCAGAGGGTTCCATACTGATCGGCTTTCATGGGTCGTGGTTCCTTGGAAGAAAGATCCCCGAGTCCCTGGGAGGCTGTGGTGGTTCCATGGAATTTCTCTTCATTAGGGGTTTGTTTCTTTGCTTTCTCCTCCTGCCAGCTTTTAGAGCGTTTTCTTGGTGGAGTTACCAGCTGTAATAAAAACAATCATGAAAACAATGACTGTTGAGTGCATTTTGTGTGTTGTGTACGCTGTTCAGAATGCTGTATGTGGCTACTTCGCAGAGCTGATTTCTTATATCCCAAAAAGTAGGCACTGTTGTTATGATCTCTGTTTTAGAAGGGCACACTTAGGGACGGAAAGGCAGATCATTTCCTCACCTATTGAGTAGCCCCCACTATTGAGCATTCACTCCATACCAGGCATGTGACCAGGGCTTTTGTACACACGATCTGATTTGAATGTCAGAACACACCTATGGTTATGCCCAGTGGCTAACACTCTTCTTGGCTGGGAACAAAAGGTTGGAGGATCAGGTCTACACAGAGGCACCTTGAAAGAAAGTCCTGGCAATTAACTTTGAGAAAATCAGCCACTGAAATCTTGTGGAGCACAGTTTGACTCTTGACACTTACGGGAATGTGATGAGTCAGACAACTCAACGGCAACTGGTAACTGGTATGAGGCAGGTAGAAGAATGAGACTCATCTTACAAATGAGAAGGAGACAGTCACTAAAGTGAACTAACTTGCCTACAGAAGCTGGAATGTTCACGTTGGTATGTGAACCCCTGGCCCTCTTGTTAACGAGTAACTGCCACCAGGCCTTCTGGTGAATGTATCCTCTGTCCGGCCCTGGGCTTGGCTTGGGGCTTTGCACAGCTTCTTGCTCCTGGGTGGCTATGCTGAGTCAGAAATTGAGACTTTGAAAGGAGGAGGGGGGGTTGCTTTGCTAGAGGTCTCTTAGACCCAAAGGGGCCAGGTTGGGGTTTGAAATCAGGTGTGCTGACTCTAAGTGCCACGTGCTCTTTGCTGACCAGGTCTCAGGCTAGAGTGGGTCTCTGTCACCTTGAAGCCTCTGCCCTGGGCCCTGCCAGCCGTACCCTTGGCATGCTCCCCCTCCCCTTGAGGCAAGCAGCTCTGCTGGCAGCCAGTCCAGCAGTTGGTGTGATGAAACGTCCCTCCTCAGTGGAGCCAGGGCAGCCTTTAACCCTGGACAGTGCATGCTGAGAGCAGAGAGGGGACAGCAAGAGCGACATGCAAGGGTGGGCACAGCTGTTGGGGTTCTAGAGGCAGGGTGGTGGTGGTAGTGGGTATGTGTGTGGGCTCTGGCACTTTCCTGACCTGGGGCCATGGTGTCTGTCCACCTGTACAGTGGGCTCAGCAGGCCACCTCACTAGTTGTGAGGATGAAATGAGCCAATCTCTGTGAGGTTTGTGGGACTATGCCTGGTGTTGTATAAGTATCAGGCAGCAGTTGGGATTAGGGTATCCTGGGACCAAGGTATGTGCCCTCAGCCCGCTCAAGGGTCCTGGCATCCATCCTCCAGCCAGGAGCCAGGAAATCGGGTATCCAGGTCTCCAGCCTCTGTATGGAGCTGTGCTGAAGTCATTGAGAGCACAGGGTTCAAATGCAGCCTGTCCCTGTGCTGGCTGTGTGACTTAGAGCAGGTTCCTTAGCCTGTCAGAGCTCTTTGTATCATCATCTGTATCCTAGGGACTCGTGGTGTGACGCTTTAGGATCAGTACTGGACTGTGAACCACAAGGTCGGCAGTTCAAACCCACCAGCCACTCCTCAGAAACCCTGTACAGGGTCGCTGTGAGTCGGAATGAACTGGACGGCACTTAACATTTTGATTGTACCTCTTCTGAGACAGATTTGTTTGTTCTTTTGTCAGTTCATGGTATATTCAGTGTTCTCTGTCAGTCCTGTCATTCAGATGCATCTGCTCTTTCCCATACATGTTGTTGTGGTTAAAAATACTCTCACTTTCCTACACCTATGGAAGCAGTAGAGCTCAAAAGAGGGAACAAGTCCTCACAGCAAGAATCATTCCCACCCCCTCCACACACAGAGTAGACAGGGATGGGCAACTTGGACATTGGCTACCCAAAATGGGGGGTGAGGGGCTACAAAGGC